CCCTGCGGGGGCAGGTGAGCGCGGCCCGGCCCGCGGGGGCGGGTAACGGCCGCTCGGGGGCGCTAGCTGCGGGGCTGGCGGTGTTGCTGTCTTCTCCGTGCCTCCAGGTGCCCGGCCTCGTTGCTGTGCTGCTAACGGGAAGATACATCTGTTTTCCCCCTTTGTGACTTTTTTCATGGCTGTCACAAAATATGTCACCTCTGATAGCAGCTACTTATTTCTCTCATCTCCTGCCTTGTATCTGGAGGTGACCTAGAAAACAGTTTATTTGGGATGCAGCAGACAGCTCCAGTTTTCAGCTGCTGCCTGACACATAGCAGAGCGAAGCTGATGCGATGTTTGGTACGAGTTGTGGTTAATGCTCACATCTTGTAGGCGGCAGTAAATCCAATGAACAGTTCAGTTGTGGGCTGCTGATGCTGCTTCTGCCTGGAGAGGTTACCAGCTACACAAAAATCAGGTGCTGGAGTTATTTACGGGAGGAGGACACGGGCTATGGGAAGTGGCTGTTTGTTTTGGAGACCTTCCCGCAGACAGGAGTGTGGCAGTGGAAAGACTCACTCTTCATCCTCTGGCTATAGCTTGAAAGCTCTGGGATGAGTGAGAACATCAGACTGTCTTTCAGTGACAGAGTAATGCTTCACATCTATTCTTATTAGCCACAGCATGTGGCTCCTTGCTGTCTGAGTTTCCTGGTAGCAGTGCCAGCATGCTTTTGGGGGGATGGCAGATCACTTTCCCGTTAGCATGTTGCTGCCGAGCCTGTTGCATTTGTGATAGTCGCTATCCCCATGTCCGGGTCTGGAGAAGCTTCCTTCCCTGGATACTCCCCATGTTTAGATCCTCCCTGTATTTAGGATACTCCCCGTGTTCTTGCCCACACCAAACTCTCCCCATGTTTAGGTCCTGCAACACTGGGTCAGTCTGTTCTTAATCTTCCTCTGATCTCAGTGGATCAAATGGCCTCTTTCTCTGACCTTTCTGGCATTCTTTGTGGACTTTGTGTTCCCTCTGCATGGAAACAGAAATTCCTAGCACCACTGTCTTAGGCCCTTTTAACTGTGCTGCCCCTCCCTCTGCCAAAGGTGCAGTCACCATGGTGCATACTTTATTGTAGCTTCCCCTGGGTGGCTTTACAGGTTACAGTTCCACATATTATCCCAGAAGAGAGGAAGGAAACAGGCAGGTGGGTTTCTAAGGAGTCCAGAACCAATTATTGTTTACTCCACCCAGTGTGGGAAATATTCAGACAAGTGTTCAGACAAGCCACCAGTAACTTGGTTTCCTGTCTTGGATTTCTTACTTCTCTTGAATGCTGTTGGGGATCTAGGGTACCGCCTTATGTATCTGGCTTGTTTTCTGAATTGCAAAGACCTTTCTTTATCTCTTCATCCTTCAACCTGTGTTCTTCCATAGCGAGTCCTGAAGTTTTTCTGTGCTGTGATACCAAGTCCCTCCATTTTTTTTCCTGGCCAGGTTGTCCCTGTCTGAAGTTTTTTAATTGTTAAGACCACAACATCAGCATTCCATTGCTGTCCTTTGTGGGGAGTTTTCTACCATCCCAACTCCCTGAAAAGAGGTCCCAGTGTGCTCCCATTTGAAAAGGAGGTATTTAGGTTGAATGACCTTTTTACTGTCCCTAGGCTGGAAGCGGAGCCATAACCCTAAAACCCTAGTGGGTCAGGGAAATATGGCTGTTGGCAGATTCAGGGAATCTGGCAGTTGGCACTTCTCACAGCAGCATCCTACCCCCAATCTTCTGTAGGTAGTCAGAGAGGCCTGAGTCTCATTCTGGCACCCTAGAGTGCAGACTGTCAGGTACATGGCTGGGGGTAGGAATCGGAGCAGCTGGGTGGGGGGTACTTAACTTGTGGCATGCCTACCAAAAAAGTTGGCCATTATTGCTCGCCCCCCCTGCTCTGATTCTTAACCCCAGAGATACACCTGTGAGTCTTCATTCTGGGGTGTCAGAATGAGACTCAAGCTTCTCTGGCTACCTGGAGCAGATTGGGGGGTAGGATGCTGCTGTAAGTAATATCACTGCCAACACTATTGGCACTTTTTTTTTTCTTTCTCAAAAGAAAAAAGGACGGGGAGGGTAAAAGGAGACTTGAGTAGGGTGGAATGAGATAGTAAACCCAAAAAAAATTGTTAAG